TACTTGGAAAAACACATTTAATTTTGTTGTAGAAAAGCATGCTCCTTTACGCACAAAGCGTGTCAAGGCCTCTAAAGCGCCTTGGATTTCATCTCACTTGAAAGGTGAAATGCACAAAAGAGATATTTTTAAAATCAAGGCAATCCGGTCTAATGATCCTTTAGATTGGCATATTTTTAAGAAAATGCGAAATTCCGTAAATCAAAATATTGTCCGGGCGAAGGAAAACTATTTTAAACGTGCGTTTTCTGAAAATAAATCCTACTCGAAAAAGACCTGGAATATTATTAATGATCTCACATCTAAAAATCGAAAAAGCTCGCATATTCACGAAGTTGATTTGGATGGTAATTTGATTAACGATTCCAACAAAATTGCTGATGCTTTTAATGAACACTTCTCTAACATTGGTCCGAAGCTTGCAGATAATGTAGATGTTAATCAGAATAATCGTTGTTATCTCGATTATTTACCTAGTCAAAATAACAACATCCGTTTTCAATTAAAAGAAACTAATTTCTCTGCAGTTTTCGTCCTTTTGTCCAAGCTAAGTAGGTCAAAAGCTACTTGTCTGGACAAAATTTCGTCCCGCCTACTTCGAGAGTGCCCTGATTTAATAGCGGAATCTCTTAGCTACATTTTTAATCGATCAATTGTCTCTGGAGTATTCCCAGATGAGTGGAAACACGCTAAAGTTGTCCCAATACATAAACAAGGGAAACGTAATTGCCCTGACAATTATCGTCCGATTTCCATTGTCTCGGTAGTGGCTAAGGTTTTCGAAAGGATAATTTATGATCAGCTGTATTTATTTCTATCTGAAAATAGTCTCTTAACTAATTGTCAGTCGGGATTTCGTGGTCTACATTCTACTGTTACCGCCCTTCTTGAGGCCACTAACGATTGGGCTTACATGCAATATCGATCATGGAAGCATAAATGCTGTCCTTTTTCTCGACCTCAGGAAGGCGTTTGATACCGTAGACCACGAGATTCTTTTAGGAAAACTAAATTTATATGGCATCAATGGTGTTGCTGGCAACTGGTTCAGATCATATCTCAGTGAACGGAAACAAAAATGTTTCGTTGATGGTCATTTTTCGACAAACGTTTACTCCGTTGCGGAGTTCTCCAGGGAACTATTCTGGGGCCACTTTTATTCTTAATCTATATCAATGATCTCCCGAATTGCCTCTCTCACTCACGTACACGCATGTATGCAGATGGCCCTCATTTGACTTACGCAAGTAACGATATTGATGACATTGATCATCACTTCAACGAAGATCTTGCTAAAGTCAGTGAGTGGTTAGTAGCCAACAAACTTACTTTAAACCAATCTAAAACAGAATTTATGCTAATCGGCTCCCGTCAAAGGATTAGTACTTTCAACTCTAGTCCTTCACTGACAATAAATGACGTACCAATTAAACAAGTCTCTCACACAAAGTCACTTGGTGTACATTTAGACGAGAACTTGATTTGGAATGTTCATATCGAGAAATTATGCAAAAAAGTCGCTTCTGGCATAGGTGCATTAAAGCGTATAAGGCCATTCGTCCCACCTTCCACAATGCAACTTATTTACAATTGCTTAGTTCAACCCTGTTTCGATTACTGTTGCGTTGTCTGGGATAGTTGCGGCAGCACTCTTGCGAATAAACTGCAAAAACTCCAAAATCGAGCCGCTAGAGTACTTACTTCATCTAATTATGATACAAATGCTGAATATCTAATTCAAAAATTGAGCTGGAAAGACCTTGAATCTCAGCGAAAAATTGCCAAAGCTATAATGGTCTATAAATCTCTTAATGGTTTTGTGCCAGACTACCTGTCTGAAATGTTTGTTGATCGAAGTAGCGTAACAAATTATACATTGAGAGACACCAGTAGAAAATTAGCTTTAGCTCAACCACGCACAAATTACCTGAAAAATAGTTTTAGCTATAGTGGTTCTGTGCTGTGGAACTCCCTTCCGGTTGAGTTGAGACAGTCTAACTCATTACGTAAATTCAAGTCAGACTGCAGCAACTTTATACATTAGTCAATAATTTTAGATTTTTATATTAATATATTAGCACGGCACTTATGGAAAACAGGTATTCTTGTAATATATAATTAGTATTAGTATAGTATGTATACATAATCAGTATCTTAATTAACTTTTATATTCTGTAATCTGTAACTATATTGTATTCTCTTATCATCTTTTATGTAAAATCCTGATAAGTCTACCGTGGGTAAATAAAGTTCACAACACAACACAACACAACGCAACACAACACAACACAACACAACACAACACAACACACTCCCCGTTTGAATTAAATTTACACACAACACTATATTCGCAACTATTCGACGACTATTTTTTTATGCGGATACTGCGGATACTGGCATTCTCCTGTCACCAACCGAAACCGATACTGTTTCAATGTTGAAAAGTGTTACAGTCAGCTACTTCTGTTATTTGCTCTGATCCACTTATCTGGGGAAAACGTCCAAGTTGATATTAAACGTGATGCCTGCAGCCTTTTAACTGCTTTATTAATTATATTTAACTATTTAAACAAAATGACCAATTTTATAAAAGATGTGGGAATCAGCTACAGCTTAAACAATAATAATGCAGAGTCAATCACTAATTTTTCCTCAGTTATAATTAAACCGTGTATGCATTTATTTCCGAGTTTTAGAAGGACTGGTGATCTTGCAGCGTGCGCTTACATGTGCAAAATGGAATGTTTCAGGATAGAATATTATACAATACAAAACAAAACAAAACACGAAACGTCGAAATAAATTTTTCGGAGTATCTAATAAATAAATCGGAGTATCTATTGTTTTGTATTTTATCAAAATACTCAGTGGTTCCGGTAATTAAAGAATATTATACCTTTTTGGGGTTTCAAACACTTCATTTTATAATTATTTCATTAACTGGCATTGCTATTACCAACTTTTGTGCCTTCCATCTTTCGGGAGCTATTGTGCTATAATATCTGATATATGCTGGTGTTATAAGAACAACAACTGTCATAAGAAAGAGACGCTTAATTATCGCGAGGAATCTCAAAGATTAAGGAGTATTCCCATACTCTAATTTTCTTTTCAACTATATAGTCGCATTCAGCCCTGCAATCGAGTGGAGATCACTCGGTTAACATATCGATTTTTTCCTTAACCCATGCACGTCTTCATATTTTCAGATAATATATCGCGTCGTGTAGCGTGATAGGAAACACTTGCATTAAATGTCACAAAAAAATATTATTAGATTAATTATACCTTTCTATTAAACCAACTATTTTTATACAAGTTGTCATCAATGTCATCAATATTAGCTTGCAAAGTTCAAATTGCGCCAATACGGATAGGATGTATATCTTTATGTGTGCGACTGTAAATTCGATAGATAGCAACCTACAGTGCCTAAAATGGATTTATGCGAGGATTTACGTAGCTTAAAAGATTAGGACGACATCAGAAGTGAGAAGACATCGTAAGGTTAGCGTATATTCCTGGTGGTCAACTAGTTACTGCATGTATGCCGATTAAATATTTATAATTTATTTCTGATTTCTATGAAGAAAGTAAAATAGGAGGCCACCAGGAAAAGTTGTGTGTATTAAAGTGTTCCAAGCTATATATCATTGCATTTCCCAACTAGAATAATTTTTTGGGGGAAAACAGCCTTATATACTGTATAGCTGTGTGACTTGTTGCATGTTAAATGTAGCCTATATATAGTAAAGACGTTTTAAATAGCGATGTTGTGATTGCGCGAAAACATAAAAGGGAATAGGTCTTCTTGATTAGGCTTGTAAACAGATGTACTATATCCATATATAGTATATATAGTTCATTTTAAGGAGTGCATTCACATTTTTCATCAGTACCAATATATCGTCATTATTCTTATCTGCATTCTGCACGCAATTTACCTTATAATTGCTGCGTGCTGTGTTTTATATTTGCCGTTCAAACTGTTTATTTTCATGGTTTAAATACCTTTAGGTCTTGACCATTTACTATTATGTTAGTATAACACATCGTAATAAATCACCATTGTGACCGCATCTTTGCCTAATATTCAGCAGCGAATTATGAATTGATTACGGAAAATATCATAATGGCGATAATTCAACAACCAGCATGTAGGCCTACTTTGCATTTTAGACCTGCCGTGTTTCACAGGCTATAGTATAGACGGAATGGACGCCCGATTTTAATTCGACAGAAATGTGTCCACAATATCAAACAAGTCATAAGCCATAGGCTATAATTGAGACAATAGCACTCGCGGCGACAGGTTCGATCGACACAGATAATGTATCGTTCTATAGCTGTTGTGTATTTAATAGTTAGCGTTGCATGCTCAAACCGTGATCGCTAAATCCCAACAATATATATATTATCAGCTCGCGAGTTCATACTCTTTTTTTCCAACTTTGGATTGTGCTATTTTATAGTGTTCTTGTCTGGCTATTTTCATGCCTAATCTTATTATACCACGTTAATTAATTTAATTTCCTTTTTGAAATTACGCATCACGAAAAAATTGTCAACAAATCCTATACGCAAAATTTCTTACATATAGGGACTATATTCATGTTTCGTATATGTGTATACTATGCATTTAGTTTTAGGACTATTATATATATATATATATATATATATATATATATATATATATTGCGCATAGTCGCGTTCAGAGTAGAAAGGTGACGTAAGTCCCAGGTCGGCTATGTGATATAGCTATAAAAATATCCCCGCATGTCTCCGGTATAAACTGATTGTCTCTAGACTTAGCGCAAAACCGCTTTGGGGCTTTGATTTTGTTAGTATCGAAATCGACAAAACTTGGAACGTTTATAAACACCAAAGTGATCTATTTTGTTTCTGCATGCTTATGCACGCATCTAGATAAATGCGTGGTTCAGTTTTCAGTGTATACTGACGTTTTTGTATATTGTTCACCGCTTTATACCAGTCTGTTTGTCAGATCCGTTGAAACGGTGGGCGAATGCCGTTCAAACGGTTTCTTGATTTCGTTCGAACGGTTTGTTAATACCGTTCGTAAAGGCGTTAAATTTTTTGTGTTCATCCGTTCGTATTTTTCACTCAAAACGTCTAAAACGTTTTGACGATCCGTTAAAACGATTTGACAAAGCGTTTACTATCCGTTCGTTATCCGTTTTTTTGCCCGTTTTAATGCCAAATCGTTAACGTACCTTTTCCCAAGGAAGGTCATAAATATGCAACAATATGAAATGATGGAACTAGGCGTAAAGTTAACAAGCTATTCTATTATGTTGTTTTATTGCGCTAGTTCACCTTCTATTTCCTTTACCAGGAGGAAATACGACAACACCTTTTGCAGTTACACCGCCAACAAGTAAGTTATTGAAAATTGTATAGTTAAAATAATTAAGTTTACCTTCTGTTTGCTAGTTTACCTTCTATTTGTTTAATATAATTTCTAGTAACAACACCAGAAGGAAATACGAAAACACCTTCTCCAACTACATCACTTAACCCAACAGGTAAGTTATTGAAAATTGAATGGTTAGAAAATAAAAAGAGGTTTATTTTTTGTTTTCTAGTTTACCTTCTATTTGTTTAATATAATTTCCAGTAAGAACACCAGGAGGAAATACGACAACTCTGTCTCCCGTTCCTTTATCTACACTAACAGGTAAGTAATTGGAAATTTAATGGTTAGAAAAAAAGAAGTTTACCTTCTGTTTGCTAGTTTATTTTCTATTTAGACCGCGAGTAGTGCCTCGGAGAAAGGAGGGACCGCCGACAACACATCAAGAAACGAAATAGCCAACTTTTCGCTCTTGTCAAATCGGCTCCGCCTTTTCACCCACAATTTTGTAAATTGAAATATCAGATATTGATATTTTCTGTGTTGGTGCAATGTACTCAGGTGAATAAGATGCTTGTGATGTTATTCTGAGTGTATATCCGCACCGGGCAAGCTTGAAAAATATGCCTGACCACGGTGGGAATCGAACCTACGACCTTTGGAATGCTAGCCCATATCAGATTTTGTTGGCATCACACTCAATTAAATAGTACAAAAAATGTAAAACAATGTCGTGTTGCCATGGCTAACATTACACGACTTATACGAGTAACGCGAGCTGGCAATCAGAGTTGGCGTGATTAAGAATACTTCTTGTTGAAACAACGTTTGGAACATGTGGTCGAGGCCCGCATGTATTTCTGGTTGCAATAGTATAAATATGCAACAATATGAAATGATGGAACTAGGTGTAAAGTTGTACATGTTGATACATGTTGTGTATCAGTTCACGTGTCAATGCTGTAGCGCATTGTATGTTGGCCAAACACGCCGACACATTCACGCACGTATCTCAGAGCATTTGAGAGTCTTGCCTTTGACTGGAAAAAAACGCTCTATCTCAACCATATCTAGCTCACAAACACATGCTCAAACACCCAGTCTCCGCTTCCGATTTCAAAATTCTATCATCAGGCACTTCTGAGTGGGATCTTCTTATCCGTGAAAGCCTATTAATTTCTCAAATTAACCCTTCCTTAATGCTAATATTAGATCTACCCCTCTTGAGTTATTTTAGTTATGTAATATTAACCTTAACTATACTAACCATGCACTTAACATTAATATTTACTTATTAACTAGTTACTGATAAGTTGTTTTCCTTTCTTTCTATTCATTTGTCCTTTCAAATTATGTAACCGTTTTTGTAACAGTAAACCATTATTTTGTAAATATATATACCATACCCTGTAAATCCATTTAGATTGCCCTGAAGATGTTGCATTGTAAACAACGAAACGTTAGCTAATTAAATTTTTACCTAAATATCGTGCCAGGACTCGATTCAGGACTCGAGCCAAAAATGACGTCAACCGTCGTCAAGTGATTTTGATGGATGAAAATTTAACAACAGCGTTCTCACTTTTAAGGAACTTTCTTTAAATTTCGACTATTCGTTCACCAACAATGCGAAATGTTTAACGAAATTTAACTGAATCGGAGGAATTGTTTATCGATAACCTAAGGAATGTTTGGCAAATGGGAAGTGAGAGAACTTGTTTACCAAATCAATTTCCCGCCAGATTCGATAAAAGAAACTAAAGAACGAAAGTTGATATTTGGTATACTTGTACATACAGAGCTGTCAATCTCATCTGACTTTGGCTATTAAGGGGCCGATCATATGGAGCATTTTCAACCCCGGGGTTGAACTCAGCCCTGGGTTGAAAATTTTGTCATGTAATCGCGCGTTTGATTTTGATAGAGTTTTGTATAACAGACAGGGCTGAAATTTCAACCCGGTAAACAGGCTGAGTTCAACCGCGGGGTTGAGAATGCTCCATGTAATCGGTCCCTAACTGTAACGGTTATTAGCGTCGGAAGACAGTGAATGAAACAATAGTCAATACCATTGTTGTTGTTTGTCTTTGATATATTGCACAAATATCGATATCCAAAAAAGGGAAATATCCGGCCAGTATTTTATCGAACTAAAACAGTTGGTATTGCCCATCACTAGCAGTCTCTCGCTCTTTACAAAACAGATACTTGTTGCCGCTTAGCATTTGTCAAAGAGTAGGATAATTCTCCCTGCCTTATTTTCCTGTAATAGACGCCAATATCACCAAACTGTATTATAGAAGAGCCGGCCACGCTGGCTAACTGTATTACCAAATACACCCTTTCGATAATTACACATACTTTTTGGTCTTGGAACCTCGCTCTCATTGGTAAATTACACAAAGTGATTAGCGTAATTATTGAAAGGTTGTATTTGATTTGCTACTAGTAGAACATTTAGCTAGCCTGCGTAACGTGTCTTATGAAACAAAAACTATTGGGTAATGGCAATTCCCCGTATTTTCGAATTTTTTGATCGAGTCCTGACTCCAGTCCTGGCTCGAGTCCTGACTCGAGTCCTGGCTCGAGTCCTGACTCGAGCAATAGTATATCTCTATATTTTCAGTTAAGTTGAAAAATATATAGTGAAATATGATTAAAAAAATGCATGGATTTCAAAAAGTTACAAATTTTTTTTTCTAAAAAAATTATCAAAAATTTTCCGCTAATCACGCAATTTTTTGATGTTCCCTTTGGAGTATTTCGCCGTGAAGTCGCAGGAAATGGCCATTCCAGACTTCTAAAATTCAAAATTTCCCGAGGAGCATGCCCCCGGACCCCTCTAGAATGGGTGGGTCTGCAGAGAGCAGGACTAGTCAAATTCCGCTAGCTACGCCACTGGTCTGTAGTATGTACTATTTAAAGCACGCGTAGAAGTGTTTTATCACATATAAAACGCGAGGCGCAGCCGAACGTTTTATAAGTGATAAAACACGACTACAAGTGATAAAACACGACTACAACGACTCATCTTATACGAGTTCATTGGCGAAGTAATTTTTAAAAAATCAAAGCTAAAATTTATGTAAATTAACATGATTTTTTATCACATATAAAACCACGACACGCTTAATTATGATTTTTCTTTGTGTTTTGCTCCTGAATTATTAATGAGTTTTTTAAATTTATTTACTTGCATTTCACGTTTTAATGCCACAATTCCCTAAAAAGATCGGTGACCCCCGTTTTTTAACTGATAATTTATTTCTTTAATGCACTTTACATTTATATCCGAAATTAAACTAAAACTCATTTCTGGATCTTGAAAAAAAATCCTTTATCAATGCATGTTCTCCAAGAAAGATATGTAAAAAAGAGTTCGGGTAATGGTCGAGGGTCGAGGGTCATAGGTCGAGGGTCGAGGTTCGAAAGTCGAGGTCGAGGGTCAAAAGTCGAGGTCGAGGGTCAAAAGTCGAGGTCGAGGGTCAGAAGTCGAGGGTCGAAAGTGGAAATTCAAGGGTCGAAAATTAAATGGGAAATATTAGTTTTTTATTAAACATTTCTAACTTTATTACTGTTAGTACAGAACATGCCTTAGGGCATAATTAGGTTCCTTTTTGTTTTTCTAAATTTTACTGTTCGAGAACATACGGTGCCGGTGGGGTGATTCGAAAATATATTGTATTTATTGTACTATCAGAACAAATCGGGTCCCAGCGCAGCAAATATTAAAAATCTCTCACAATGGTCGTGAGATAATTCTGAACCGAACTAATATCACCCTGTTATAATTATTCGTGCTTCATGCATGTTATTTTTGACAGAACAACTAAAGAAAGTCTCCATTTTATTAATACACTACAACGTTCTCGCAACTATATTATGAATATGAAACTGTCAATCGAACATGTGCACTTCCGGTGCAGACATGTAAACACGATGTTATAAAATATATAAATATCAACTGTTTCTCGCACACCCTAACACTTTAAACCTCCAAAACCATACGCGGTTTGAAGAGTATCGTTAAG